ACATGCAAGTTGTTTATTCTAAAACCGCTCTTTCTCCCGGGTCCCAAGTATTTTTTGTTTTTGTTTTTTTGAATATATATTTATTATAGACTTTCATGATATGATAACATGTAATGTATGAAGGAGAAGCAAGCAAGGCAGCCTCAGTAGTGTTTGCCAAAACCAGATTGTGACTATAAGTTTCAAAGATAAACAATCGCAATGTTTATATTCGCCAACACTCGTAATGTTGATATTTGCATTCTTCTTTTTTGCGTGTTCAGTTAAAACGCTAATATCACCTTCATGATTAATTTTTTTGTCACTGCCTACTATACTACACCACGAAAGATCCGACATACTAGTATAGTTTTAATCACGCAAAGGTTGCAAAGTCCTGAAAAGTATGAATGAAATTAGACTTCTTTAATTATATATCTATAGTCATACTTAGACGTGTTAGGGACCGGGGGGGGGGATTTCGTCTCGCTTGGCTATGATTACACGTAAGAGATACCAGATTCGACTAACTCAAATTAATACACACCATTACAGCACAGTCCATCGCTTTATTGACACGGGCAGTCATCAGTCGCTGTGGTAACCCTCACAAAAGATTATGTTATTATTACTATTAAAATAAAATAAGTAAAAACAATCTACACCCGTGTTTATAATCTCCATTCTAAAAACATGCAAGTTGTTTATTCTAAAACCCCTCTTTCTCCCGGGTCCCAAATTGATGAAGTAATTGTGTTGAATATAAATTTATTATAATAAACTGTGCCTATAAGTTTCAAAGATAAACAATCGCAATGTTTATATTCGCTTCGCTTAAGATATACGGAGCGTAAATCGCGGAGAAGCTATGAGTAATCCAGATGATATGAATCGTCATGCGTTTTTTTTGGGAGGGGGGGGGCATGTCCCTCTGCCACCCACTCTGGATCCGTCACTAACGAGATTCGACTGACTCAAATTAATACACACCATTAGCACAGCGCAGTCCAGCGCCTCATTGACACGGGCAGTCAGCCGATGTGGTAACCCTTACAAAAGATTATGTTATTATTATTAAAATACAATAAGTAAAAACAATCTACACCCGTGTTTATAATCTCCATTCTAAAAACATGCAAGTTGTCTAAAACCCCTCTTTCTCCCGGGTCCCAAATTGATGAACGGGAAAGAGAAATAGAAATTTTTCTCTACAAGTAAAACAAAAACTGCCTATTCATGTAAAACAATGACCTGTCAACATTTG